AATTTTTTTTTAAAGTGAAAGCAAATCGGTGTCTGAATCTTTTTAAATATTATTATAGCTCAGAATATTATGGGTCTTAAGCTGGCGCTGTGAGCTGTGGCTGATTAATGAAATGTTTTTGTATATAAATTGACATGTTCTCAGCTGCTGTTTTGTGATTTCAGTTGGGTTTCCTCAAGACAAGCCAGTCTTTCATAACTTCTTTCACTTCCTCTATGAGCTTGTGTTATTTTCAGTGTCAAAGAAGAGTCGTTACAGAAGGGCTCGGACTTTCTGAACTTCTTACATTCAGACAAAGAGAGCATCAGTGGAAAAAACACAGGACTTCATTATTGTCATGAGAAATAGTTTGAAAGTGTCAGGCGAGCCGAGTGTCCCACGCTTGCTCTTTCTCTTTTGTCGGCTGCTGAAAGACTAGAGGTCTGTGAGCGGCATATGGGCGTTTGGGACTGGAGGCTTCGCCTTGCCAGGCTCCTGCTGCCTCCCTCTGCGAGTGGGCTAACCCACAGGGATGCTGCGATCGGATTGGGCGAGAGAGCGTGTAGGAAGGAGAGGGAGCGACGGAGTTGGAGGATGTTCACAGCTCATGACCACATGGGCAGTTGCCATGACAACGTAACAGCTAAGTTAGTAATGCGGAGTTATTATTCCTGTGCATAGCAAACACGGGCTGCAGCTGTCATTGCTTTCACTCAGTGGAGTTTTGGCTTGTAGTCAGATTTGTTTTCAATATTCTTCTTGATATAGTCCTTCATATATAGTATAGACAGGATAGGTAAAAAATGATTTACGATTTATAAAGAAGAAATAAATGAATCTAACATAAAATTCGAGACTTAATAAAAATAAAAGAAATTTCAAAGTTCAGCGGGGGATCAAATGATTTTTCCACTGTATACATCTTTTATATCTGTGACCTGTGAGGCACAACTTTTACTCCGAAGACAAACCTCCAGTTTGTTTTTTCATGTTTCACGAAAGCTGAGAGAGTGTTAGCAGATAAGTCAAGGCTTCAATGCTTGCTATGAGCAACCACAGCAATCTGCTAATGACCAATGCAATTACAAAGAGGGCCTTCGTCCAGAGTCCTCTTTGCAACCGATTTTATATAGCAGCAGCCAAATGTAAACCAATCAGTTAGGAAATACGCATTTTTTTCCGCCTTTTGACCAGAGGGCGGCAGGTAGTCGCAGATCAGACTCTAGTGCTGTGTGATCGAGGCCCAATGTGCTGATAGGCTGATATCAGCCGGCAAACCAAACATCAGCCAACACCTTTGTTTGGGTTGTTAGGATTGGGTAGTTTGTGATTACCCGAATTAGTGATAGTTGTTGTTTTTGACGGGAATGGGATTAATTTTCTTATTTAATAGTCTGTTGACTGTAAAAAAGAAAATTTAACTACCATGGTAGATACTATATCGGTAAAACATAAGCACTAATAGGAGCTGGCCATGTTATGCACACTTTAGCAGCACTATTTTTTTCTTCACAAACCATGGCAGAGAGTAAATGTAAAGAAGTCTCCATCTAATGGATTACTACTGAAAAAACAACGTCAATTCATGAAGAAAATGAAAAAACTAGACCTAAAACTGAATGTGTGGTTGTGCACCCTGTTCATTTACTACCGTCTGTTATCCCCACCTGTTCATTCATTTCCTGGCTGCGGGCGAAGGCGCTCTGCATCCGATTGCTTTGTTTAGTTTCTTGCCAGTTTTATCAGTTTTAAAACCCAAATAATCCCAAACAGAAGATTAAATATTCTTTTTGCACAGCTGATTCTTGTGGACTTTTCCTTCTTACGCACATGCACACAGACACACAAACACACAGAGCATGCATGTGCACTCATTTGACTGGCTGCTCATAAAAACTTCACCCATCTGTAGTGGATTCCAAGCATTTTCTGATAATTATTTTAAGCCAGACTGGATTAATGAAATGCTAATATATAAATGGTTGCATGAAAATATACAAAATTGAAATGTTTTTTTTAATAATGACTCTTTTGCACTATTTTTGCTGTAAACTAAATTACACATACTATGTATTAGTGCAAAAACAATTGGCAAGAAAAAATGAAGTTTGCTGGATTTAAGCTCTTAGATGTGAATAGTTCTGTTTGTTTGTTATATTCATAGATACTTTATTTATAGCCAGATGAAGT